ACCTTACCTTAATAATTTGTTGTATTACCTTAATTGTCACAGATAACTGAGAAAACACAGAGGCAAAATGAATTGTGGCATGCTACACAGGCAAAGGGTTTGCAGTGCTCTGAATACATCCATGGTCCTCAAGCTTTAACATGCATCAGAACCACCAAGAAGACTTCCTAAAAGATTGCAAGTTTCTGATTCAGTAGCTGGGGCCTGAGAATACGCATTTCTTAGTTCCCAGGTCATGCTGATGATCCAAGGACCACACTTGGGAAATTACTGGATAGAGAAAAGGGCAGAGTTAAGTAGTACAGACATGCTGAACTCGAAATAAATAGTACTACAGCCCTCATGGCTAATTGCTAAATTGCCATGAACAACAATTTAGCTTCTACAAAACATCATCTATCATACTGACTTAATTTTATTTTCATTGGTTTTGTAGTTTTATTTCTATTAGTTGATGCAAGTGTTTTCATAATGGTGTAAAAGTTCTAAGTGTAAGGAACATTACAATAAAAACAATTCAGCATCTGTGAAATTTTGTTTCCTTTAAAGGGGGCTCTGTACATTATTTAAAGCTGAGAATTGAGACTACTAGTTGATTCTTCACACAAAGGTGGCATGGCTGAGTTATTTTATAGAAAATAAGACAATTTACATATTTCTAGCCTTCTGCTCTCACCAATAAAATAACTTGGATTATATACAACTCAAAGTATAGCCACTGCCTTGCATTATCAAAATCTCTGCATAGAAGACTGGAAAAGGCCACAGGGGTCTCACCATTGCTGCTGGTTTTTGCATTCTTTGCCAGTTGTGCACGAGTGGCAGCAATCAAACTGTCATGGGCCAACTCCTGAACCCGCAGGAACCATGGAATGCTACTGTCTGTGCTCTCACTAGAGAGGAAATCATTCCCTGAATCCTCTGCCTCATCTTGTACAAATACTAAGTGTTCGGCTGAAGAGCCCAGACCTGGAAGAAACAAGAGGATATATGAAAGTTAGCCATCAAGTAGTCCTTTGATTGGCCCTGGCTCAGAAACCCTCGGTGTCCGGAATCAGCTATTCCAGATCTTCACCTCTCACCTCAAGCATAGGTTCTCATATATAACAAGATGAGGTTATCATCTTGCCACTCTCAGCCTACAGGCTCGTCTTTATCTTACCTCCTCCTGTTTCAGAGGCAAAGCCGTCCTTCCTCGAAACCAGGCTAAACTTCACCTCTAATATCCCAATCCTATCCTTTAGTTATCCCCTCCTGTCTCCTTCAGTTGTCTCCTGTCTCCCATCTGCAACCCATTCCACTCTACTGGCCAGCTTAGTCTCCCTTACAGCCTTTCAATCTGTCCAAGCTCAACTATCTCCTATCTTTCTTTTTTCACAAAAGAACACCACAAGTACTTCTCTAGCTATCACCTTCTCCTTCAAAGTCAATTTTCTTGAACAAGTCTAACTTCTAACTTGCATATCCACTTTCTCAGCTGTCATCCACTCCCCATCTCTTTAACTCCAGCCTCCATCCAACTCTAGTACCGCAATAACAATTGCTCTTGCTAAGTAGGGTCACCAGACATATACTTCCCAGTTCCCATCTCACTAGCCCAGCCTAAAGTATTTGGCATGATTTAGTACCCACTCTTCTTTCAAACATTTTCCTCCCTTGGCTTCCCCGACACGACTCTCATTCCGTTTTCTCTATCCCTCTCTAGCAACTCCTTCTTGTTCTTCTGTTACCCTCGTAAAAAATTTTTTCAGGGTCCCAGATTTGCCTAATTTTCTGTTTATGCTCCAGGTTACTCCTGAATCAAAGAATCCACGCTCACTGTTTCATACATTTGCTGGACGCTGATAAGCACCAAAACTACTTATTTCACAACAGACCTCTCTAGAACTCTAGATTTCTGTTTCTAACTTTAAGGGACACCTCTTCTGGAATGTCCCTCCCCTATCTCAACATCAACAGGCAAAAACCGGAAGTAATCATCCACCCTCCAGCCCTATTCTTCCTGTGTTCACTAGCTAGGTAAAAGGCACCACCTACCTAATTTCTCAAACAAGCAGCTTTTGAGTCATCCTAGAGTCCGCCCTCTCTCTCCCCATAATGAATTGATCACCAGTCTATACCAATTCTCCAAAATAATAAAACCCCTTTCCATTTTAATACGACTGAGTTAAATATGTCCCACCCCAATTTTTTCTTAAGCATGAGCAGAGTTCAGAAAAGGATTAAAAAAAAAAATACCTGCTCTTGTTAGGTTAAGAAGAATAAAAGAAGTGCTATCACTTGGTTGTAGATCTTGCAACAAGCTAGGAGACTCTGGAGTGGATAAAAACTCTGGGGACTTCTGTACAGTCTGAGCCCTCGTCTCCTCTCCGTCTGGGCCCACATTCACTTGAAGGCTTCTCAACACAGCTGAGGAAGGAACCTCCTTGGAGGAGTTAGTGTGATTTGCAGTATCATCTAGTAAAGGGAAAATACCACAGCTTTATGTAGTACTTATCTCCAAGGAGCCCACCACTTTGATGTAGCACCTAATACCCTTGTAATATCCCTTAATATCTCATACCCTTACAGGGGCAGATAGCATTTTCATTTTACAAATACAAAATTTGCCTCAGAAAAGAACAGAGAGATAGCTTTAAGTTCTAAAGGGAGTCAGCCAAAAAGTGAGGGACAGACTCATCTGACACTTGGCAGTAACTAATAACCAACCATCCACAATTGGACTTATAGACCCTTGTCCTTTTGAGGCCAGAAATCAGTACTTTTCCCTTGAAAAATATGGTTATGCCATGAATACTAATTTAAAAGCAGAACCTAGCTGAGCAGCTGCTGAGCTGCCAACAGGTGGCAGGATGGCTCAGCTAAAAAAAAATAAATAAATAAATAAATAAAATAAAAAAATAAAAAAAATAAAAGCAGAACCTAAATTTAAAATAGTTTTCCTTGGGGAGAGATCCCTTCCTTTAATTTATGTAACATGTATATGACAGTTCTTGTGAGTCGGGGGGTGGGGTGGGGGGAACCAGCCTGAGAAATAACTGAAATTTTATAGAATCATGAATATGTTTCATTATCACTCTGGGTTTACACTAGGTGTAAAGAAATAATCGGAAGACTTTCTAGAATTTTATTCTAAGGGAGGGAATGAATTACAAAGGTTTTGGTTGCAATAAAATGAGGAATTACACTACAGTGCTGAAGCATCCAATGTTTTCAGGGGTTTTATTCATCTTTATCAAGGGCAGCAGAAGGCTTTATAACAAATAAGTTGTCACCAACAGGTTAATGTTGACCCTCCCCCAATTTAACATTAATATTTCAAATTTTAAAAGGATCAGAAAATAAAGAATTCATTGCATCCAAAAATAATGTTCTCCTTGCTACCAGTCAAGTGATAGGATCACCCTCTTCCCATCTAAAGCTAATCTCACTACCTGTACTCAGCAATCTACTTCATTCTACCTATCCTGAAGCCTCCTCACCAATTATCCACTCTTTCTGCCTGCTGCTTCCCTAATTGGCTCTTTCCTCTTAGCATAAAACCACCCTTACATATTCCAAATCTTAGAATTCTTCCACCTACTTACATCTTTCCCTCCCATAGCAGAAGAATCTTTACAAAGTAACTTCCTCAACTATACTTACTTGCATTGATACCTCAAAGCACTGCGACCTGGCTTTCCACCCATCTCCATGGAACAAGTCCCGCTAATGTCAACAATGGCCTTGCTGACCCTATCTCACTGGGCCTCTTAGGCGCATCTGACACATTGGCTGTTCCCGAGTTCCATGCCTGCACTCTATGCCAGTATTCCTCATACTACTCTAGCCTTTCCTTCTTCCCTCCTTCCCAGGCTCTCCTGTCTTACCTGTACCTTGAATAGGGAGTTCCATGGAGTTGTGCCTTAGCCTTCTTCTCACTCACACACTCTATGGGTGGGTGATCATATCCATTCCTATGGCTTAAACTACCAATGCATTTATGACTCCCGTGGCTGTTTTTTCTCCATGATTCCTAATTGTTGTAGTTTCCACCAGTTATAAAGTCTGTTATCCCATTCCACCAGTACCATAGCGTATGCTAAGGTCTTAGGACTCATTTATCTTATCTGTGGTGATAATTTTTACCTGGTAACATCAGCCGACTGCATTCTGAGGCCTCAGTCACCGGAAGGAGGGACAAGCAAGTAATATCTTTAGCTTCTGATTCTACTAGCCCCTGTCCCAATGGGATGGACGTATTCTGAACAAATTGTACCAGGAGCTGGGGTGGGGGGCAACATTGAGAAATACAGGTTGTTAGAAATGGATCTAAACCAAAACATGATGATATAACTTCCCAAAGTACAATTTACCAAAAGATGATGATGTAATTAAGTCATGATTACTCACTAGTCTCAGCCATATTCATAGAAAAACTAGATTAATGATAAAATAATATTTTAAGTTATTTATATCAAGTTTTCTATTCTACAGAAAGGCTAAATTATAGAATTTAACCTCTGTCACCTTCCACCAGAGAAATAAAAATTATATTTTTAAATGATGGCTATTAAAAATTCAACTACATTGATTACATTTTATAAAAAGCACTTTTCTGTGTATTGGCTCTTTTAATCCTAACTATAACTCAGTAAGACTGAACATGTATTTTAAAGATAAGGAATCAAGTTGAAGACACTCAATGACTTTTCTAAGGTCACGTAACTAGTTAGAAGCAGTATCAGTCTTCAAACTTAAGTAACCTGATTCCAAATTCGGTAACCTTTCCATTATGCAACACAGTGTCCTAAAATTAAAATGAGAAAAATGAATAAAAATTTTAAATGTTTAAGTCCACTAATCACATTTGGAAAGAAGATACTTTCAAATATACACAAAATCAATAAAAGAATGGTTTGTGGTAGTAAATATTTACATAGGTGTACACACATATACATATATGCCATATATTGGGTTGTTAGATAAGTCATGATGTATTTTTTTTCTATTTTTCATTGCAAAAATGCATCATGACTTTTCTGACAACCCAATATATAAAATAAAATTTTGTCATTATATGATTACCTAGATGTATAATAATTTTACACTTATTTTTAAAAATATAAAAAAGTCATAAGATGTAAAAATAGAGTTTTAAATCTTTGAGAAAGTACTTAGTAATAGAAAAAAAACATACCAGTACTTATAACCAAAACCATGTGGCCCACAAAGCCTAAAATTTTACCATCTGGCTCATTACAGAAAGTTTGCTGACCTCTGAACTAAATAAGGGCCAACTTTGGAATATAGCCCACCAAAGAAAAGGAGACAGGCTAACTGCTCACCTCTGGTTTGGATTCTAACTCATCTGATAACATTGATTCAGCTTCCAAATCCTGCAGCTGTTCAGGGCACAGATTAAATTTTTAATTCAGAGTCAATGACACTCCTATTATGCTCATATTCCTTTAGGAAATGCTATGTTTTTCCTGTAAGATGCTGTGCTGGGTGGGTAATCAATTTAGCCTAAAATAGAGGAAAAAAGAAAGATAGAGAGAATTAAGAACAGAGTAAAAATGTAGCTAAATAAACAAAAACACTTCTTTATATATCCAAAAATCACAACAAGCAAGCAAATAGAGTTCAGCCCAAACACTTGTTTTAAAATAGGACAAGCACAATAGGTATCAAAACCCATAAAAAGTTATACTTTGATGCAGAATTTCTACTTCTAATAATCTATTCTAAGAAAAGGTCTTAAATATGGGAAAAGCTACATGCCCCCAAAATTTCATGTTATCGTTTGTGATAATAAACAACTGCAAGCAACATATAAATACATATATATCCAACAATTAGTGTTGATTAAATTACAGCATTGTTGCTTAAAATATGGTTATGAAAACAATGCAACAAAGAAAAATGCTAATGACATATTAAATTACAAAAATAAAATACAAGCTGGCATACTTGCTAATATTAAATCTAGTTAAGATATTATAGGAAAAAGTAAAAGGAAAATTACATAGCTGTGATAGTAGCTATTGGGTGATAGGCTGGTATGACTAATTTTTCTTTTCTCAATTTCCCAACTTTTCTAAAAGTAGTTACACAGTCAAACTTTGGTGTTTTCAAAAAGCAGTACTCTCAGGACCCTGACACAGCCGTTTTCTCTCCCTATAATTTAAACTCTTTCTTGTTTTAAAAGATGGTAAACACAATTTATTTACAATTTTAATAACAGTTCTTTAATTTTGAAAGTTTTCTGGAACATTAAACATGAATTTCTAACAAGCGTTCTCAGATTCAGATTTTTACTTCTTTTCGGTGGGAGATTTCACATGTAAGGATATGGGCCAATTGAAGTCTTTCCCACATTATTTACATTCAATAGGTTTTGTCCAGTGAGTCCTTTCATGCCTTTGGAAGGAATAGGGATGACAGAAGGCTTTCCCACGTTCTTCACATTTATATGGTTTCTCTCCAGTGTGCATTCTCACGTGTATTAGGTTTTTTTTTTCTTTTTTACAAATGAAGGCTTTGCCACATTCCTTACATTCATAGGGTTTTTCTCCATATAAGTCCTTTCCTGTCCTTGTAAGGAACTGTTTCTCTGTAGGCTTTACCACATTCTTTACATTCACAGGGTTTCTCTCCAGTGTGAGTTCTTTCATGTCTTTGACACAAGCTAAAGCAAGTGAGTGCTTTCCCACATTCCTTGCACTGATAAGGTATATTTCCAGTATGCATTTTCAAGTGTGTTTGCATGGCTGTGTGACAAGTGAAGGTTTTACCACGTTTACATTCATAGGGTTTCTCTCCTGTGTGAGTTCTTTCATGTATTTGAAGATAACTGGGATACCTGAAGGCTTTACTACATTTTTTACATTGATAGGGTTTCTCTTCAGTATGATTTCTTTCATGTCTTTGAAAATTTTATAATAACTGAAGGCTTTTCCAGTGTTCGCATTGATAGGACTTCTCCCCTGTGTGGGCTCTCTCACATATTTTAAGTGAAGTTGAAAAACTAAAAGTTTTTCCACATACTTTACATGTGCACGGAGCATGTACACTATGTGTCATCATGTCTTTGTAGGATTTTAAGTGACATGAAAGCTTTCCCACATTCTTTACACTTGAGTTTTTCTCCATTCTCATTTTTTTCATGTTTTTCAAACAACTGAAGATAACTGAAGATTCTGCCAAATACTTTTCATTTATGTGTTTTATTTCTCTATCCATATTTCTGATACTCAGAGGGCTAATGTCCAGTGTGCCATCTGGTGTCTCTATTATGGGATGAATGATTCATGAAGACTTTTCCGCACACACTGTATTCCCATGGTTTTACTCTAGGAAGTTTTCTTCTTCAAATTGAGATTTGGAATAAGGCTGAAGTTTTTTCCACACTGATTACCTTGTTTACTTTCTCAGAGTCCTCTATCTTATAACTTCTTAGTTTTTTCTCATTTTTGTAATGATCTTCAATGTCATGATCTTCCCATTCTTTACCTATTGAGGCCAGGCTCCTGAAGGTGTCCTGCATCACATCTCTACAGGTTCTTCTGTGAGGGAGCCAGTAAAACCCACTCTTCCAGACAGCCACATCCTTATTGGCCACTGAATCCATTTCCCGGCTTCTCGGGTGCCCCTGAATCATACCTGTGGTTCCTATATCTGGTGCTGGTCATACAGAGATACCTGGGCCGTTAAGCGCAGCTGAGATCTGAACTCGAGCCTGGCCTAAATTCTTACTTTCTTATAGTTTAATATTTTTTCAGGATATTGGCAAGTTTCCACTTATTTTGTATGCTTGTTGCTAAAATTGGAAGCACTGTTATACAAAAATTGACCACAGTGTAAAATGTACACAGGATGGGAGTTTTCAATTAGTACCAAGGGAAAGTAGCAAGTCAGAATATGATAGACTTACTCTACAAAAAGAGCATTTGAAAATGCCTGACTAAATGTTATTGTCCTGTTAGTTCCTCTCTCTCCCCCTAGTTAGCTGCCAGAAGTCCACATTTTTCATTATAAAACAAATAATTTACAAGATGTAAATAAAAGTGCTCCTTTTATTTTCAGTTTCCCACATAAAATGAAGTGTCATAAATCCCCGACTCTTCCTTTCAGATACATTTTTCTTATTCAAGCATTCTAATAGCTCAGTGTGGTTTACCCACCCCTCTTTTTAGAGAAGGACGTCCAAGTTATTACCCAAGTTATTAAGCTTAGAGCCAGACTCCAACCCACAGATCAGGTTGGCATGAATAGTGATTACATCTCTCTCAGTTTGATCTTGAATCACCAGGGTTTAAGAATTTCTTTTCTCCAATTCCAGCTCATCTCAAGAAGCCAAAAAACTACCAAATGTTTGTTTAGGTTAATCCTTAAGGTTCCTCCAATTTTGCGATTCCAGGATTATAAAATCTCTAAGAAAATCTAGACAACTATTTACTGTCTTTATATTTGTTAGGTTATTTTAGAAACTAATGGTGCTGGCTCCAGGGATAGGCTTCTGTTATCCTTACCTAAAGAAAAACAACATGAAGGATATGAATATATGTCCTGAACAAGGGAAAAATCAGATATAGATCTTAGACATTTTTGCAAAGCTGTAACAACAACTTAGTGAAAGAAGTTGCCACCTCTCTCATAGTTTAGGAGTCACCTCTAGATCACCATTTCTCAATGATCCATTGTTATCTATGACACCCTTTTATTTTATTTTATTTTTTAAAGATTTTATTGGGGAATTGGGGGAGGGGAACAGCGTTGGAGAATCGGGGAAGGGGAACAGACAGGTAGACAAATTGCTGTTTTGTTCTTCAGTCTAGTTGTGGAGGACGTCGCTTCACTGGCCCATGTTGGTATGATCATTGCGCTCTTCCTGGGTGAGGCAATCGGTCGCCATTCATTGGTCGGCTGCTCACGGCGGCTCGGGCAGCTCTCACCTGCTGCTGGCCGCTCATGCTGGCTGCCTGCCACTCACATAGCTCACAGCAGCCCACTGCAGCCCCACTGCAGCCTACACCGTCGCCAGCGACTCACAGCAGCCCAGCTCCAGGTTGAGCTGTTGTTCATCATCTTAGCTGTAGAGGGCACAGCATCACTGGCCCTCAATGTGGGATCCGTACCGCGGCCCTGCTCCTCAGAGCTGGCACTCCCAAGTGAGCTCTTAACCAGCTGAGCCACTTGGTCGGCCCAACACCCTTTTATTTTAGTGTTTTCATTTCAATGATAATCTTTAAAAAAGCACAAGCACCTTCTGGAGCAAATGGGTATCCCATATAATTTTGGTGCCCAAATTTATGGTTTGTATGTGTGCTGTATAAAAAAAAAAAAAAGAATAGTCCGATATAGTAGAATAGGCAGGCTGACCACAAAATAATCTCTGTGGGAACACTCAGTACAATATTAAATGTACTGTGTGGATCTCATCTTTAACACAGCAACTTGCTATATGTACATTAGCTGAAACTGTGATGGCAAATATGTAATTAAATTCTAGTCCCAATTCCAGTTACCCATTTAACAGATTTCAAAACTGCAATGTCAATCTTTTTTTTTTTTTTTTAAGATTTTTATTGGGGAATTGCCGGGATGGGAACAGACAAGTTGCTATCCTTTTTGCTCTTCAGTCTAGTTGAGAAGGACGTTGCTTTACTGGCCCAAGTTGGCACCATCATTGCGCTCTTCCCAGGCGAGGCAGATCAGTCGCCGGCTTCTGGACGGCCACTCACTGCGGCTGCTGGCTGCTCACGCTGGCTGCTGGCTACATATTGATAGCCCATGGCAACCCACTGCCACAGGGGCTGCAGCCTATGCCGCCATCCGGGGCAACTCATGGCAGCCCAGCTCCAGGTTGAGCTGTTGTTCAGCATCTTAGCTGTAGAGGGCAGTGTCACTGGCCCTCATATGTGGGATCCAAACCGGGGCCCTCTGGCATCCCAAGCCAGTTCTTAACCACCGCGCCACTCGGCCAGCCCTCAATCTTTTTTTAAATAACAGATTCACTGAGATATAACCCACATTATCACATAATTCACTCATATAAAAAGTACAATTAAATTGTTTTTAGAGTATTCACAGCTGTGCAACCACAACCACAATTTTACAACATTTTCATCACCCCAAAAAGAAACCCTGCAGTCATTAGTAGTCACTCCTCATTTCCTCCCAAGCCCTCCCCCAACCAGGCCTAGGCAACAACTAATCTACTTTCTGTCTGCATGGATTTACCTATTCTAGACATTTCATATAAATGGTTTTATAGCTATTGTGCCTGGCTACTTTCACTTAGCATGTTTCCAAGGTTTATCCTTGTTGTAGCAACCATATCAGTACTTCATTTCTTTTTATTACTGAATAATATTCTATTGTATGGATATACATTTTATCAATTCATCAGTTGATGGACCTTTGGGTTGTTTCTACATTTGAGCTGTTTACACAATTTGGCTACTACACTTAATGCTGCCATGAACGTTCATGTACAAGTTGTCATGTGGACATGTTTTCATTCT